ATCTCAATGTCTCCAATATCTGCTGTACCATACTCCCTGTCACAACTAGAGAAACGACTCGGATTAGGTTCCAGTCTAGATTTTTTTTACTGAGGTATGTTGTAATCATCGCTGGATCGGAATGAACGCCTAAGTAACACCTTGGGTCATGGCCAAACAAAATGTCATGGACAAATTGCTTACAATACACTTTCAATAATGGTGAACTACAAATTAAAAAAATGTGGAGACTGGAATAATATAATTTCACAAATGAGCCTACCCTTAAGTAAAAAAAAAGATTGATTATTTTTTATTATTGCTTTTTTCAATACAGAAGATTTCTCATGACATTAACCTCAAATCACCTATGATGAGATCCGTGAAGATTGGGGTAGAATAGGTCTTCAGCAACCATGCTTGCCATAAAAGGTGACTATGCTTGTCGTAAGAGGCGACTAACGGGATGGGGTGGTCAGGCTTGCTGACTTGGTTGATGCATGTCATCAATGATCGATGCTCATGATGTCAATCACTGGATTCTCTTGTCCAGACTCAATTATTTACAGACCACTGTCATATAGCTAGAATATTGCTGAGTGCAGTGTTAAACAACAAACAAACAAACAAACCTATGATGATATATTTTTATTGATTTTTTGCCTCTTAACTCAAGATCAAGAAAATAAAAAAAACACAATATATTTAGTCAGTTTGCCCAAATATGAAACTAACATTATTAGTAATAAGATTCCTTAAATCAAAAAATAAAATAAAAACACATTCTTCACTTTTTTGGATATAAATATGAATATGAATATTGGATGAAAAAAAGATTCACCGGCAAAGAGATCCAATATGTTGTTTATGATTTTCATGTACATGTTTTAAGAATGTCTAGTCTCAAGAGGCACTATTGTCACCTAACATTATGTATGTGGCTAAAACTTTGAATTGTTAAATGATATCCACCATGCTGAAAGACCACTGTATTGATTTTGTATACATCAAATGTAAAAGACAACATCTGTCTGTATATTTTATTAATGATTTCTACTGATGGCTGGGAGACGACTCCCGGACTGTTGGATTGATTGGTGCTGGCTTTCAGTGACATGGTGTCTTCGATATTTGGCAGAGTAGACCAAACATTCAGGCCTCATATCAACATCCTCAGTGTTAAAGATAGTGAGAGATTATTCTACAGATGGAGCCATCCTAAGTAATGAAAAGAGACATGTCAAAGCAGGGAAGCGTCATTGTTTAAGTAACCAAATGCACACTTGTGTGTTGACCAAAATGAATTTGCAAAATAACATCATAAATAAAACTTTGTTTGATGGTCTTTATGAAGCTTATCCTTTAAATTAGAATGTGTCTATCTCTCCTCCCCTCACACACACACCTCCTCTTTTTATACATTAGTTCAAAATGTTACTGTAAATGTGTTTGCAAATCCGAAAAACAATACTAACAAATTATAACCTTGAAAAATAATGGCTTCATGCAGAAATATCCATTAACTGCAGAGTTTGGCTGGGAAAAAACGCTGCTTGTTTTAGACTTTGATAGACTTGTTTCCATTTAAAAATATGAAAAGGCATTAGCTGAGCATGTGGTCATTGCACTTCTATAGCCTCATGCAAATATATTCATTAGTTTGAGAGTTCTTTGAGACCAAGTCCAAATAGTTTCCATGGAAACTTAAATTTAGAAAAAAATAAAAATATCAAAAGGCACCAGTGAAGCTGATGAGCAATGGATATCCCAAGTTTCGCTGAAATATGTTTAACATTTTTCGAGATATTCGAGAAACGAACCCTTCCCTCATTTAAGACTAAGTCAAAATTGTTTGCATGGCAACATAAGAAATAACAAATGTTTGATAAATTTCAAAATAACAAAAGGCACCAGTTACGCTGATGACCAATGCATATGTGCAGTTTTGTAAAAAAAATGTTGAACATTTTTTAAGTTATTGCCCAGAAATGAACCCTACCCTTGTTTGAGATGAAATCGAAGTTGTTTCCATTGAAACATGAAACAATAAAATTTAGAAAAATTTAAAAATAGCAAAAGGCACTAGTTAAGCTAATAAGCAATGCATATGGCATGTTTTGTTGAAAAGTTTTGTTGTGGATGGGAACGCAAATGCCAATACACGACGCCATCAGAAACCAAACCAAAAACAATATGTCTATTTGGGCAAAAAACGGGTTTGATTCCCAACATGGGTACATTGTGTAAAGGCCATTTCTGGTATTCCCTGCCATGACATTGCTGGAATATTTCCAAAATATTTCTAAAAGCAGCATAAAACTATACTCACTCACTCACTCACTCACACACACACGAGAGGCCTAAGTATATGGTATATGAACAATGAATGATCATGTGGAGAAGACAGCTTGTGACATTTCTACCATGTTGCATTAATTTGTATTAGGAACATGGTATTGATTTCTCATTTGGAAGAAAACAAAAAGACCAAATTGATTCTGAAGCCGTAGAATGAAATATCATATATCAATCAATATTTTATTTACCTCTCTTAATAAGTACATGTAATGATCATGATTTCTTATAGCAGTGAGATTTCTTTTGATGCGTAAACTTTTCATAGGAATACAAACGAACTCATCAATAAATTACCGATTCCAGGTTAATGTCAAAACAAGCAAGAACATGAAAACAAACTGACAACATTTAACCCAAATCTATTGTCAGGAAAACAATTATGAAAACAGCATTTCTAGATAAAGAAATCCATTTGGTGCATTGCTACATTAATCTATATTGTGATAATGCATGTCTCCCAAACCCTAGAGAATAAATTAAAAATGAAGTCTAGAATGATTTGGCTAGTCTAGATTCGTCTGAAATTAAGCATTGTCCTGGTCGCCATGTTGATTTGAATTCACATTTTGTAGATATGTTTTTAAATGAGATAGCTTTATTTCTAGGACTTGTCTTAGTCTTTGACACATGGTATTCCAGCCAGCAATGATTAATATTTTTCTTCTTTTTTTTATATCTTTTTAGTATTATTCTTTCTCTAATGTTTGGGATTGAATTCCAGATTTGATCTGATTAAGATCCTAGATTTGTCAGCACAATGCACCAACGTGTGAATGTCCTTCCTAAATGAGTTTGACACGCCTTGGCACGTCAGTGTTAGAACCAGTGAATATCCGGGGTAGAATAGGTCTTCAGCAACCCATTCTTGCCGTAGAAGCCGACTATGCTTGTCGCAAGAGGCGACTGACAGGATCGGGTGATCAGGCTCACTGACTTGGTTGATTCATGTCATCGTATCACAATTGTGTACATCGTGCTCATAATGTCAATCACTGGATTGTCTGGTCCAGACTCCAATATTTACAGACCGCCGTCATATAGCTGGAGTGAGTGAGTGAGTTGGGTTTAACGCCGCTTTTAACAGTATTCCAGTTATATCGCGGCGTGTCAGCTTAATGTGGGAGGAAAGCCCGAAGTGATGCAGGTCTCAGACATTTACCACTTCGGTGAAACCCACGAGCACGGGTATGGTGCTGACAAACCTAGAAACATAATTGGGGCGAACCGGGATTTGAACCCACAATCATAGGTTTCTGGCGTGCCCAAGGGACGCAACTCTGCACAGCGAATCTCATATAGCTGGAATATTGATAAGTGTGGCGTTAAATAACAAACAACAACAAAAACCACACTCACAATGTAGATTGATGTCTTGTTGGTTTGTATCGTTAATTAGGAGGGACCCTGATGAGGATCCAGATAGGTCAGCACTGTACCAATTCTTGTGGCCACCAAAGTGGTGCAAGACCTTGCCTCACGGGACTTAACGCACTGACACTGTAATATGCTTGAAAAAATTCAATGCAACATGAACCACAAATCACTTACTACTTTGATATGTTTTTAAATATTTTTACTTAAATCTCAAGGTAAATGCTATATAGCTATGTAAACTTTTTATTGAAATAACAGTAACGAGAACTAGAGCCCAGGTGGTTGCATCTTCCCGAGGCAAGGGAGTTATCTGACTTTAAAAGTCCAGTTTCCACCCTTGCTGAACTAGGCTGGAATTTCCAAGCTTGATCGTAGCGCCACCAGTGGTTATAATGAGTTATGTCCCACCTTAGGACCAATCAGATTCCACTTCTCATATCACTTGCATTTGGTTCAAACAAAATGGAGGCGCCCAGTCAAGACGATGTGATCGATGATCAAGATCTACATTGTAGTAAAACGGTTCTTATCTCACAAAGTGCACCAAAATTACTTGAGCACCTTGATTAAAGACATGAAAACATTGAGGGCACACATGCTCTGCAAATCCTGCAGTCAACAAAATCTGCCCAGCACTTGCTAAGTTGTTTATGAACCGGTTGTGATTTCGTCACACGATTTTGATTGGACTTTGCATTGACTCGTTAGTCCAGCTGAAACTCCATAATACCTGCCTAGTTTAGCAAGGGTGGAAACTGGACTGCTGTAGTCAGTTAACTCTCTTGCCTCGGGGGCCCAGTCGTCTAAGGTGCTGCAATTCGCTGTGCAGAGTTGCGTCCCTTGGGCACGCCAGAAACCTATGATTGTGGGTTTGAATCCCAGTTCGCCCCGATTATGTTTCTGGGTTTGTCAGCACCATACCCGTGCTTGTGGGTTTCACCGAAGTGGTAAACATCTGAGACCTTCATCACTTCGGGCTTTCCTCCCACATTATGCTGACACGCCATGATATAACTGGAATACTGTTAAAAGCGGCGTTAAACACAACTCACTCACTCACTCTTGCCTCGGGAAGATGAGGCAGTTGATGAATGTAGTCTGCCATGAAGGGGCCTCATACACCAAGTCTATAACTACTTCAACCCATTCAATATATAACTAATAACTGCTTCCTTCCAGAACCATGATAATCATCACCATGAACATCATAATTCAGTTCTTCAGCTGTCGTCATGTTGCCCACTTCACGATGCATTTCTCTAGCAATTGTTTTGTTTTTTATTTCAAAGGTGATTTTGCATCGCCCGTGAAAGGTATAAGTTTGCCGGCAGTAGAATGGCTTTGCGAATAGCTGCAGCTTGTAGGACCATATACCCTATATTGCAGATTTTCTATTAATATATCATTTTATGAACTCTCCAAGTCAAATAATGTTGTATTGTTCAAACAATGTTATAAATAGTTATGAAGCATTTTTTTACGCTTCAAACTTTAAATTCACCCATTATATATAATCAGCCTGCTAATTAATTCACAGCTATACTAACTATTAATTATAAGTCACAGAATATAAAGAATAATATTTTTATCCTGAAACATTGCACTTAGAATGAAATTGATGATCACTATTATAGCACTTCAAGCTTTCGACATTGGAGCACAGTAGCTCTTACTCATGTAATTGTTTACTTCTTGTGCAGATATTATAGACGCTAACTGTACTGTAAATATAATAAGATGTTATTGACTATTATCCTTTTTCGGATTTTGTTGTGAATGTATTTAAGTAACTGTTCTCTTAATGTTGTGTTTGTGTCTGTTTTGCTGTGTAGTGTTGTGGGTGTAAACCATGCAGTTGCTTCAACTACCATAGACTCACATTCCAACTGTATTCAGTATGTTTTCTTGCGAGTCCTATGTTATTTGGGACTGATATTTCTTCTTGTATGTTAAGTGAAGTTATTAAGCCATACAAATTGATTATTTGTTCAATTGGAATTTGCATTTTCTACAACATGAAAAACAATGTGTATGACTTTATTGAGGGATTCTATGTGCATTGATCATGTTTGATCATGGACCTGGCTGCCATGGCAACATGTTGACCAATTTGATAGTTTTTTTGGGGTTTTGCTTCAAATCACCACAAAGGGATAAAATGCCTTAGTTTAAACAAGGACCTGGCTACCATGGCAACATGTTGACCAGTTTGATAGTTTTTTGTGTATACAGTGTGTAGCTAACCTGCACTATGTCTGTTATGAAATCACTTCAATCCCTTGTGTTACATATTGTGATTAGACGCTAAGCGGTAGACACTAACAGTTTCAGTCCGCTAGTCCTTACAATGATAACATATAGCAAAACTCCTAAAAATGGCAAATCTCTACTAGTCCTTATGATACCTTTACTATTGGGCAGTTTGGCAAGGACTACAGGACTAGTGCCAATTTCTAACGCTGTACTTGTATAATATTAATTATCCTAAAGGAGTTTGAAGGTAATGTTGCAATTATTCCAGAACAAACAGCCAAGCATGCTCTTTCGAATTTATTATTAAAACAAATTTTAAATCCCGCATCAACAAATCCCAGGAACAAATGATCAACTTGTCATGGCCTTGACGAGTTACATATGTGATACATAAGGTTGGCGTGATGGTCATCGGGTGTCTCTTGCCTCCATTGCAGGTACGGCCAGGAAGGGCATGAGTGCTGCAGCCCCGAGTACCGACGACTGTGAGACGCCCACCAAGTCCCGACTGGAGGCCATTCCAGCGCCACCTACCAACACAAAGCTTGTCCTGTCTGGGGGAGAGGGATACGTGGACTTCAGAATTGGTTAGTACAATCGTGGTGTTTGGGGTATGAAACATCAAAGTATTAATGAGGAACAGTCTTGTATCAAGGGTTAGAGCTTGGTCGGTTTTGAATAAAATGGCAAAATAGTTGTGCTTCATGACAGCGCTTCATGATGAGTGCTTAGGACAGTGCTTTATGATGAGTGCTTCATGATTAGTGCTTCATGATGAGTGCTTTAGGACAGTGCTTTATGATGAGTGCTTTAGAACGGTGCTTTGTGATGAGTGCTTTAGGACAATGCTTCATGATGAGTGCTGTAGGACAGTGCTTCACGATGAGTGCTTTTGGACGATGCTTCATGATGAGTGCTTTAGAACAGTGCTTCGTGATGAGTGCTTTAGGACAGTGCTTATGATGAGTGCTTTAGAACAGTGCTTCGTGATGAGTGCTTTAGGACAGTGCTTCACAATGAGTGCTTTAGAACAGTGCTTCATGATGAGTGCTTTAGGACAGTGCTTCATGACAGCGCTAAAACTTTGTCACATTGCTTCCTTAGACATGTTTGTAGTTGAAAGATTTGTGATTATGGAACTAAATTAACAGTATCTGTTATTTTCATCGACAAAACTGTTCAAACTGGTTTTGAATCTAAAGTGATATTGCTTCTTTCTTTGTGCAAGTCAGAGTTATGTTTTTTTAAATTACTTTTAAAGCTAGATCCTTGTAAGTTGTCGCATGAGGATTGGAGTAACATAGGTGCCCATCAACCACTGCCAGTCTTGAGGGCTAACTTACATAATGGATCACTTGTCTGATTCCCCTGGGGAGATTCCCAGTTAGAAATGGTACCCAGTAACCGGTGTCAGGGTCGGTGACATACAACAAACAAACTCTTGTCTGATTGTGTGTCTTCATCACCTGATAGCATGGGAGGATGCTCATGATGAGTTTGTGATGTAGGGGGTATACATGTAGTTTGATTCAATTCCTCTCTTCTGGGGGGCCACGGGTGGCTCATTCCTCTAAGGTGCCGCAATTCGCTGTGCAGAGTTGCATCCCTTGGGCACGCCAGGAACCTATGATTGTGGGTTTGAATCCCGGTTTGCCCCGATTATGCTTTTAGGTTTGTCAGCATCATACCTGTGCTTGTGGGTTTCACCGAAGCGGTAAAAGTCTGAGACCAGCATCATTTCGGGCTTTCCTCCCACATTAAGCTGACATGCCGTGATGTAACTTGAATACTGTTAAAAGCGGTGTTAAACCGTAAAACTCTCTCACTTACTCACTCACTCCCCTCTTCTCGCTACAGGCGATGATGATGATGATGATGATGATGATGTGATGATATGTGTTAGAGTTTGATTATTCACTCCTTCCCTTCCCTCCACAGGTGATGGTGATGATGATGAGCTTGTGATAGAGACGGAGGAGGAGAAGAAGTCTCAACTGAACAAAGTAGACAGGAGTCATCTCATCGTCTGGCAGGTCACACAGGAGTAGCCCGCAATCAGGGCTCATCACAGCAGCCAGCCAATCAGAGCTCATTACAGCAGCCAGCCAATCAGAGAGCTCATCAGAGCAGCCAGACAATTTGAGGACGTAGCTCATCGCTACAGTCAATTAGCTTGCTTTTTGCCCATCTACTCAGCCAATCAGGATACATTGTCCAACTGAGTTGACCAATGAAATACATATTCAACAAATATGGAAATTGGAACAAAACAGGAGGGGAACTTTGACAAGGATTTATGATGGAAAATACAAACAAAGCGACTTTGAAAATAAAGTTTGAATGTAATCATCCATTTTGAAGAAATATGTACAACATCAATGAAATGGTTTTTTCAAATCATAAATATGTGGTCCCTTTTATGATCCGATTGAAGTATGTAACATCTACGGTGATATGAGCAGTCTTGTATGCAAACACTCAGAATCCCATCCTGAAGTAGCTAAAAGTTCTACAGGGCATTGTTAAAAGCCTCCATTCCTGCAGACCTCAATGCTTCAGTTCCATGGATTCTCCAACTGATATTCAGTTGGGAGGCCTCCACTTCCATAGGATGTAGGACAATCAAATCAAAGAATGACAGATCTTGCAATTCATGATGACAGCATTCCTTGTTGAGAGAGTGCTTCATACTGACAGTGCTTCATGACAGCACTCCTTGATGACAGTGCTTCTTGACTGCTTCATGGCAGCATTTCATGATGAGTTCTTCATGACACTGCTTCATGATGAGTGCTTCATGATGACACTGCTCCATTATGATTGCTTCATGACAGTGCTTCATGACTGCTTCATGATGATTGCTTCATGATGGGTGTTACATGACAGTGCTCCATGATGATTGCTTCATGACAGTGCTCCATGATAATTGCTTCATGATGATTGCTTCATGATGGGTGTTACATGACAGTGCTCCATGATGATTGCTTCATGACAGTGCTTCATGATGATTGCTTCATGATGGGTGTAACATGACAGTGCTCCATGATGATTGCTTCATGATGATTGCTTCATGATGGGTGTTACATGGCAGTGCTCCATGATGATTGCTTCATGACGAGTGCTTCATGACAGTGCTCCATGATGATTGCTTCATGACAGTGCATGATGAGTGCTTCATGATAGTACTTCATGATGGATGTTACATGACAGTGCTCCATGATGACTGCTTCATGATAGTACTTCATGATGAGTGCTTCATGATGACACTGCTCCATTATGATTGCTTCATGACTGCTTCATGATGGTACTTCATGATGAGTGTTTCATGACAGTGCTCCATGATGAGTGCTTCATGATGATACTGCTCCATTATGATTGCTTCATGACTGCTTCATGATGGTACTTCATGATGAGTGTTTCACGACAGTGCTCCATGATGAGTGCTTCATAATGACAGCCCGCCATCAATTACTACTGCTTTCAACAGAATCAATTTATTAGCTTCTGAATGACATTAATAAGCAGGTACTCTATAATACTTAGTCCCCCGTGACCAGCAAACTAAACAAATCCAAATTTTGTAATTATAAAAAAAAATTCCAAATTCTGTGATAGGCATACTAGTGTCGAGACTCTTCCATTGGGATTTCTAACTACTACATACCAGAATGTTTGAAACCTGTAGGTTTGCTGGTTATTGCCAAACTGTATAAATGTTGGTCGTGCTGCAGCTCTCTGCACCCACTGATCTGAGGATGTCATCATTATGCATGATGGATGTATCATACGCGATGTAGTATATCATCGCTGTTTCACATGTACGCAAACTACTCATGCGATATTCTGTATTATAAATGTCATAACATGCTTGCTGTTCCAGCCTGACTTTAATATCACTTGGAATATACATTTCAGCCAGAATGCAAAGTATATTTTTGTATACTAATCCAAACTGTACCCAAGGAGGAATACTAGCAACATTAAGGACACTAAAGCTTGTCTTGAGTGTCTTTCCTGTCTGTCAACGCTTCAAGTCAGGTGTATTATGTATATTTCATCAATCTTGTATATATGTTACGTTTCTGTTCAGCGAACTGTGCGGATATATAGGATATATATCTTATAAGCAATGTCGACCTGCTTCCTCTGTAGCAATGGGGATTGACGAGAATGTTCTTTGAACATTGTATTGCACCTCTGTTGTTGCTTCGTAGTAATAATTCATGGATATGATAAGATATTGAAATTGATGCTTTCTGCTACAAGACGGTGGTTATTGCTTAATTATGGATGATTGTCCATTTTATACAGCAGGCATGCATATAAGCAAAATGTGATGTTTCCCAGTGCTGTGTTCTCCCTTATCCCTTTTCTGTCTTTGTCTTCTCATTCCCCAAGCTTCCCACCCCAACCCCACCCCAACCCCACCCCAACCCCACCCCCCCACTTCTACCATCTAGCCGTAGGACGATTGATGTTTTTCCCCTGCAGCCAACCTCCGCCTCTGCCATCTACCCGTAGAACTTGACGTTTCTCTTATATCATCCAACCCCAGCCTCTTCCATCTAGCAGTAGAACTTGACGTTGGATGTGCCCATTGCGTTCAACTGAGTCTTTCCGTAAAGAGTGGCAAAAGATTCTGTAATGGTTGGTTCTTGCTCGTAAAGGCCACATGGTTACAGCTGTATGGTTACAGCTGCGTGGTTACAGCTGCGTGGTTACAGCTGCGTGGTTACCGCTGCGTGGTTACAGCTGCAGGGTTACAGCTGCAGGGCTACAGCTGCAGGGTTACAGCTGCATGGTTACAGCTTGTGGTATCCTCTCACACTTGTTATGTACGCGTCCGTATCTCTTTGGGAAAGATGAGAAGAGGTTCCGCGGGGTAGCTTCTTGGTTTGGACATTCACTTGTTTTGTTGACAACTTGGAACATTTGCACTTTTATGTGAAAAGTTCATTTTAGTGTCCGTGCCATGATATTGCTGGAATATTTCTGAATGTGTCACAAAACTCGACTCACCGACATCAAGATGAGAAACCTTAATTTGAGGTTTTATAACGAAAACATAAAGAATAGCTCCTTTGACTTGCCAATCTAATTGATTCAACTACACCATCGATATCGATGACATACCAAGGGTACATTCAACATCAGGTGCTACACAATCCCCTGGTTGAAGGCTGTCATACCAACTGAATCCATTTTTGGATTCTTAGGCAACCTTGACTCACGAGAAAGCTCTTTTTGGGATTAGCACCAAACTCAAAAGCTAAATTAGCCTGGGTAAAGATAAATTCCCTTGTAATGTTAAGACAAAGGGGAAATTGTGAAAATTGTACCAGCCTGCAAGAATTGTTACTAGCCCCAGGCTAGCAGGGTAGTGTTAAGTTCTAACCCTGGCTTTACATTGTCAGTGCTATTTTCCCGTTTGTATTTACAGTATTTATTTTCCCCTTGTGGACTTTCCCATGGTTCCTGCCACCTAGTCATAGTGGAACCGTCTTGCACCTGTATGATATGCCTTGTGAATACTGCAGCACTGATTCTGGTGATGTCATCAACTAACAGATAATTGTCAACGATCAGACCACTGTTGAAGCCTGACCTGCACCTGATGGTCGGTTCCCAGACCGATGATGATCTGGACAAGATTCTATTTTATTATTCATGAATTTCGCCATAATTGTCCACACTGGACTTTTAAGTAAGTTATTTTATGCTGCATGCAGATGTATGCTGTCTGTCAGTGTGGGCTTATAGTGGAGTTACACTACTGTAGACTGCTAGAGTATATCTTGATATGGGACATCTTCACCTGTCAGGGGTATAGCCGTCAGTATTCATCACTACCTCCAAGCACGAATCTAGTATGAGTGATGTCATATGAAGGATATCTTGTATGTTTGCATTCTCTCGTGTCATGTTATTGACAAGGGGAGGTATTGCTTTTTGTATGAATACACGATGATGACATTAATTAAATACAGTCAAACACCATTGTGTCGAAGTTGAAGGGACCTTCGTATATACCTCAGGTTATTCGAGTTTCGACATAAACGAAATGATGAATATAGAAGCAATACACAAGGACCAAGTTTTTACTTCGAGACGTTTGACACAATAGTGTTTGACTATAATATAATTCATTATTATTATATATAAGTGTCTAAATTCTATCCTAAGGGGGTTGGTCGGGTAGCCTAGTGGTTTAAGCATTTGCTCGTCACGCTGAAGACCCAGCCAGGTGCGACTCCCGACATGGGTACAATGTGTGAAGCCCATTTCTGGTGTCCCCTGCCATGATATTGCTGGAATATTGCTAAAAGTGTCGTAAAACCATACTCACTCACTCACTCTACCCTAAGGAGACTCAGGGCACTTAAACAAATGGTTCATGTACATTTTCTAAAGAATCTCTTTGATGAATAGCTTAATATAAGAATAAGGTATCTTGCAGACTTAAATTATGTTGATGAATCATATTGATTGCACTGAAGTCAACTCAAATAAGAATTTTTGTTATTTCCCTGACCTGTGAAGATGAAGGTGTTGCCAATACTCATCATGTATTAAGGAACAAGTGGCTGAGGCAGGTTCTCAAAAGTATAGAGGGATATTTATTATAGTTTTAGTTGCACATTTCCTCAAAATACAATGATATCAAATATGGTATTAAGATCATATATATCGACCAAATCTGACAATGATGCAAAATGGGTGATTATTCCAATGTTCAAGTCCTTTCTAATTGACCTTGCCAGCATCGCGGAATCTGCAGCCTTTATCTGCTTGAGAGCGGCGTTCGCTTCAGTGAAGGCATGTAAATGATGGCTTTATTGTCACACTGTGATGACTAATGTACACAAAGAAAACTGTCCATATTTTCTTGTGATACAGCAACTTTATCTGCTTTCCCAGGAGGTGAAGTTGATAAGCTGATTTAGTGCAATATTGCTCTACCTCTTACGAACTTTTATCCTCCACATTGCTTACGGTTATTTGAACGTTCAACCTAATTGAGACCAGCTCTCATTGTGTGAAATGACCATGCCTTAATTTCAACCATTAAGTTCAGTTGAAGGTTTGTTTTTAGTTCAATTCCTAAAAAATTATGATTCAGCATTTTTCACTACTGACAACTGTGAGAGACCTTTCCTAACCTTCACTGTATCTATATTGGGAATTTTATCTTCAGCAAGTATCATGCTTCTATATTTTACTATTTTGTTTGAAAAGTTAATTTTAATTGTTTAACTCAGCCGTTTTAGTTGGAATCCAACTTTGTATGGAATGCGTGAGTGTTCTTAGATCCATTCTCTGATCAGGTCTTTTGTAAATGATAGATTTCTGACATTTGCAAGACATTTCAACAAGTAGACGGTTTCTGATTTCAAAGTATTCATACTGTGCTGATGCAATGCCAAGTCATCTTCGGTGGAACTTTGCACAATTGTCGGTTACCATAGCAATCATATAAATGGAATAACAGAATAATTGTATATTTAATTGGCTCCACTGTACTATCTGAGCTGAATGGGGTCTGTATGAAATTATCTATCAGTCAGTGGTTATTAAAGCAGCATTCTCTGTTTAACTTGTTTGTTTGTTTGTTTGTTGGCATTGATGCTTATGGAAGATGAAAAACATGGTTCTCTGGCAGTGTATTATTTTTTTTTTAAATTGATTTTAGAGACACTGACAAAAGTGTCTCTAAAATCAATTTAAAAAAAAAAATAATACACTGTCAGAGACACTTTTGTCAGTTTGTGTGAGCTACTCAAGTGTCAAATTATACATGCTTTTTTCTTGAAGCAAGAAATGTGATGTTATCATGGACACACTCAAGTGATGTGCCTGTCAAGGGAGACAGTTCAAGAACAATTACTGTCTGAAATTAGATTGTAGTTCACATCAAATAACACAATCAATCATACACAGTTCACCATTATATGTTTATTACAAGGAAAGAAACTTCCAAGGAAATAAGAACTAGAATATACACTAATTGTGTGCTCTAAATGCAAAACAATGTCTGGAGTTTGGGCAGAGATTTTATCTAAAAAATAATTTGTCTCTGAAAATTCTTGAAAGAAAGAATAATTATGATTCATGAGAATGGAAGAAAATATATATTGTCTGTTACAAAAATTAGATTTTGAAGGTGGTTTTCTTACAAAAACATTCAGGTTCATGTAGTTTCAAATTACTGGGTTTTATATCTAGAGCTGAAAAAATATCAAATTTTGATACAAAATCCCACAACACAATACCCCACTCCCAAATGGTTGGTCCCTAAATAGCCCCTGCACCAGACACTGAACACCACATAGTACACACAGCATACCAAGTAAATGTCATACACTTCATACTACATAAGTGTACCACATTCTATGTAGGTGTACCAAATAGAATACACTGAACATTACATGCTGCACACCATCCATCTGGGTTGCCAAAACACCTATCGAAACTGTTCAGCTGCAAGTCGAGCCATGACTAACTAAAGCACAAAGTCAGGGGATTGGAGGTAGAGTGTGAGTGAGTGAGTTGGGTTTAACACCGCTTTTAACATTATTCCAGTTATATCGCGGTGGTCAGCTTGATGTGGGAGGAAAGCCCGAAGTGATGCAGGTCTCAGACATTTATCACTTCGGTGAAACCCACGAGCACGGGTATGGTGCTGACAAACCTAGAAACATAATCGGGGCGAACTGGGATTCGAACCCACAATCATAGGTTTCTGGTGTGCCCAAGGGACGCAACTCTGCACAGCGAATCGCGGCGCCTTAGAAGACTGGGCCACCCGTGCCCCCGGATTGGAGGTAGGAGAATGTAGTTGGCTGGAGCCAGGCTGTCAGTCTGTCAGGTACCAACAGGACCGCCTCTGTGGCCTAGTGGTAGAGCATCCACCTGGAGAGCGAAAGGTCCAGGGTTCGATACCCAGCCACGTCATACCAAAAGACGGTACTTGTCGTTACCCTGCCTGGCGCTCGGCATTAAGGGGCTGGTCGGCTCGGAGTCAGTATACTGTGTCTGAGTGGGGTATTCTTGTTAAAATGTGGCATGGTATCTCAGTGGGTTAGCACTATAAATCGGCATCAGTCCGGACTGAGACCTTTCAGTGAAACCCGAGAGACCCTATGGCTCTCAACAAGTAACGATGTGGCAAAATCTGATCAGAACAATGTCAAATAAGGCATCCTCAAAATGGAAGCAATACCAAAGCCGGCGTCCTTGATATAACTAGTCGTCCAGGGTAATAAATTTGGACTCCTCTCAGCCCTACCAGAAACCCTCTGATTGTGGATTCGAATCCCGGTTCGTCCCGACTATGTTTCCAGGTTTGTCAGCACCAGACCAGTGCTCGTGGGTTTCACCGAAGTGGTAAACGTCTGAGACCTGCATCATTTCGGGCTTTCCTCCCACATTAAGCTGACACGCTGTGATATAACTGGAATACTATTTAAAGCGGCATTAAACCCAACTCGCTCACTCACTACAAGCAGTTTGTTTGTTTGTTGTTTAACGCCGCACTCAGTAATATTCCAGCTATATTACGGCGGTCTGTAAACAATCAAGTCTGTACCAGACAATCCAGCGAGCCTGACATTCCCGTTAGTTGCCTCTTACAAGCATGGGTCGCTGAAGACCGATTCTACCCCGGATCTTCAAGGGTCTTACAAGCAGAATGATAGATATGCAACAGTGCTGAAAGCTGGTAAACCAACACTTGCTGACTCAAAACATGTACCGCACAAAAGAATCTCCAAAATGGTTAACGTGTGTTCTTTCATATTACAGCAGTTATTACTGATTAGGGGGCACGGGTGGCCCAGTCGTCTAAGGCGCCGCGATTCGCTGTGCAGAGTTGCGTCCCTTGTGCACGCCAGAAACCTATGATTGTGGATTCGAATCCCGATTCGCCCCGATTATGTTTCTAGGTTTGTCAGCACCATACCCGTGCTCGTGGGTTTCACCAAAGTGGTAAACGCTGGTAAACCAACACTCAAAACATGTACAACACAAAAGAACATCCGATTCTTTCATATTACTGTAGTTCTATTTCTGATTAACTATTGTTATATAAAAGAATCGGGCGTACTTTAACTTCTTTAGCGTAGTGTATTTCAGTTCGGTTCCCACGTGACATTGATGAAGAGAGATGGAGGTTTAACCATTACGGCAGTTTGGCTGCAGAAGAACAAAGGTGCTTAATTCAACACGTGCTTATGTAGGGTCTCCAGAGCAGGTAAGCACCTTAATGTGGTCTTCCAGGCACTTGACAGGCTTTCTGCAATCCCTACTCTCTCTTCAAACAAGGGATTGCTGTTTTACAGGCCTGAACAAGAACTGGAATAAACAGGGAAATTTGACATTGACTTTGTCCCAATCTGGAATCGTAGGATTGGTTTTACTTTTTCTTCTCAGATTACAGCTTCATACTGCCGTGAGCGAGTGAGTGAGTGAGTTGGGTAAACACTGCTGTCAGTAATATAACAGCGGTATCACGGCGGAGGTACTTACTGTACCCATGTTGGGAATCGAACCCGGCCTTGGGCGTGACGGGCGAACGCTTTAACCACTAGGCTAAGGCTACCCCCATTGCCTTTATTATGGTGTGCAAGTGTTTGGATGCTTTTGACCAGAATGTATGTCGTGGGACTTGGCATGAAGCCAAAAACTGTGCGGGGAACTCACAATCACTAATGCAATTGAGCTGAGCATACTTAGAAATGCCTCCGATACAGTATGTCAATGAACAAAGGGGCGGTCGGGTAGCCTAGTGGTTAAAGCGTTCGCTCGTCACTCCGAATACCTGAGTTCGATTACCACATGGGTACAATCTGTGAAGCCCATTTCAGATATTGATCTACACACCCGAACCTTTTTAAGTGGCATGTAGACGTTTGAATGATGAGCAAGGGAGACATTTATCGTCATTACATCTTCAGTATCATTTCGCCAATTCCCTTTTTATTTGTTGGTAGTATATAGATGTAGTAAAGGAGACGGGGAACTTCAGAGACCCTAAACCACAGAGTCATGCCGTGAACCAGTAGACGCCAGTGACCAAATACACGAACCAAGTCGAACTGTGGGGTGGAAGTGACGTCAGAGACCCTCATATTACCATTAGGTGTCTCAGAAAGCACTTGGGAAGTGAGGAGTGAGTGAGTTTGGTTTAACGCCGCTTTTAACAGTATTCCAGTTATATCACGGCGTGTCAGCTTAATGTGGGAGGAAGGCCCGATGTGATGAAGGTCTCAGACGTTTACCACTTCGGTGAAACCCACGAGCACGGGTATGGTGCTGACAAACCTGGAAACATAATCGGGGCGAACCGGGATTCGAACTCACAATCATAGGTTTCTGGCGTGCACAAGGGACGCAACTCTGCACAGCGAATCGCGGCGCCTTAGACGACTGGGCAACTAGGAAGGGAGGACTTACGAGAGGCTGGTCAACCTTTCAAGGGGTTGCTCAGGCAATACTTAATTTGGAATACTATAACGAGTTGCTGTGAAGGAAGCCGTTGACCATTTGGGAGTTGGACAATCTTGAGGATGAACTCCAGACTTGAAACCATTACCCGGGACGAAGAATGTGTGACTAGGAAAACGCGTGGCCTCATTTTGTGTCTGTTGATCAGCGTAAAAATCCTAAATCAAATGTCAGAAAATACTATACCTCATTTTAGCTTACCCAAACTGAAACGTTTGTTGTGGCGCGTTTGCAGTCTTCTGCACATCCTTTTTATGTTTTCGCATCACCTCTAAAGCCACAAAGGCTATAAAAAGGATGACGAGGATTGACATCATGAGCACCGTCGAGGCAATTGGGATTTGATGGCATGATGACAAGTCAGCGAGCCTGACCACCCGATCCAGTTAGTCGCCTCTTACGACAAGCATGGTTGCTGAAGACCTATTCTAACCCCGTGTGAAGTATGTTCCCAAAGTAGTCTGTGGGCACCTAGATTTTGTATGGAGATAAGATAATTTTTTTCAGATACAGCTGTAAAACCAGATTAAAAAAAAATTAAAACTAGAGTCTGATTTTATAAAAAGAAAAATACCTTGCAACGTTACTTTTGTGGCTGACAATTTCCGTTTTCTTAAAAAAGACTAAAGCATTTATTGTTCTCGATACAGTCCAAGCCAGCCCCAGCCGAATAGGTAATGGCCGCGCCCTTGCGAAATGTTCTCGTACAACACAACGCCTCACTTTGAAATATTCCGGAACTCCGTGGTAAACATGTCATTGTCCACGCGACCGCCTCCGTGGTCTAGTGGTAGAGCGTCCGCCCGGAGAGCGGAAGGTCTGGGGTTCGATCCCCATAACAAAATACGTTAAAATATAGTACTTGTTGTTACCCTGTCTGGCAAGGACTGGTCGGCTCGGAGTCAGTATACTGTGTCTGAGTGGGGTATTCATGTCAAACTGCGGCATGGTATCTCAGTGGACTAGCACTATAAATCGGCATCAGTCCGGACTAGTACAAGCAGCCACACACACACGTGCATGCACGACGCTATATAAGTGCAATAATCTTGGACGCGACGTTAACCCCATTTCACCTCACCATTGCCCACG